ACGAGCGGCTCTCGGGATGCCGGAACATCCAACGACACAAGATGACACCGGCCATGACTACTTCGACCCAAACAACGTTTAGTAGTTTTTTTATTTTGTTTTGTTTTTGTAATATAAATTTAAATATTTTTTATGACTTTTATATTATGGTTTTTTAACAATTAGAAAAATTAAATATTTCATTTTATAATTTGTATATTTATATTTCAAATATTTATCAATATAATATTTCATATATAAATAAATATTATGTTTTTCAAAGTAAAGTCGATGTAAAGTATTACAAGGAATTTTCATCGATGGACATGGTAATTCGTCGTAAACTGTTACATTGAATTTACGTCGATGAAACGTAAATTCCTCGTAACATTTACTTATGCGTAACCACTACTTTACGACGACATGTAATGATGACTTTACGACGACTAGTAACGATGACTTTACGACGAAAGGTAATGAGGTCTTTACGTCTAACGAGTTGTTTACGGGGAACCTCTTAGTTCTTTTTTACGACGACATGTGTTCGTCGTAAAATAACAAGACAATTACGATGAATATCTCATTACGACGGACGTTTAACAACAACAAAAACATTGTTCCTTGTAAATTCGTCTTAACATCTATTACAACGACTTTACAAGAAATATCTCCCTCATAAAAAAACTGTTTTCTTGTAGTAGTATACTAGGTATTTCAGAATACTGACACAAAGCCATGTACTTATGCCACTACAATACCATCTTCGGACTACGAGTCCACTCAGACCACGTGGTCATATAGGCTATGCGCCTAATGAGTTAAAGATTTCGATCTTTCCTGAGGACATAGGTTCTTGCAACAAGGCGTATCCTGCTAGGTCTAAACGGCTCAGGACACAATAGCCTAGATGTCCTTAAGAAGCAAAGTCCTGCTCTTAAGCCATAATAAACTAGATGTAAAGATATGATTCTGGTCATCCAAAAATCACGAGGTATTCTCTCATTTTAAACACGAACTTGGAAAATAAGGGGTAACATGTTAGATGTATTTAATTCAAGAAGCAAATCCTCATGGAAGAAGCAAAACGACAACTTTCCGGATATGGCTTCCGGCCTCTAGGTCGCATTTTCCTCCGGTCTCCGGATGAAAAAGAAAATTTATAGATAAACAAATATCTTTCCATATCTCATAATATGAAAGGATGTAACCTTGATTTTTACTAGGAATACCTATAAAAGAGATTCTAAAAACTATGTTTGACAAAAAGGCAAACAATTAAAACCAGGGATTATACTCGAAAATGTTATACTTAATACTCTTAAGATCAATAAAATACTATATTTTATTTTTCTTCTTACTTTAGAATTTTTTATTAGATTCATCAAGACCCCAACATATATTTTTATCCTAAAATGATTTATTACTTTATTAATTTATTTAATTTGATAATTTAATAACATTATGAATTATACATGAAAAATATATCATATTAAGTTCTAACAATTTCTCACTAAATCAGTGCATAAATTATGATTACTATCACAAATCATATATTATTTTTAACCATGGACGTGGCAGTCTAGTTGGTTTAAGCGCAGGCGTTGGTGCTATTGTACTCATGGATTGATCTGCGTTGGTGCTATTGTACTCATGAATTGATCTACACCTTGGGGGGAGTGCTTTACGCTATTAATGGTATTAGCAAATGCTGGCTCCGGGTCCAAAGGAGATTAAAACCCAAAATTCGAACTTCCTTAGAAATTCAAAAAAAAAAAATCATATATTATTTTTGCGCTTCAGTTAAATATGAAAAATATAATATAAATATATACAGTGTGCTTAAATGGGATCAAATAATAATCCCTCGATATCAGGGATTTCATATACTTTATGTAATTAGAAATGAAGTCACACATATATTGTAAATTATCAGATCGGCTACTTAATATTGTCTTATGGTGGTTGTATCAAAATTTGTGGATATTATAAGATAGTCAAATCGTGGATGATGTATGATAGCGACGATGGAAGATAGCAGAGAGGTACAAATGACACATATGCAAACCCACTCACACTATCTTATTTCCCACAATCGATGGGTTGGTGTTTGAGGCAGGTTTGGATTTCCGAAAGTTAAGTTATACAATACACACTCTCTCTGTCAGTTTTGGTTTGATACCTAAACCATTTTTTTTTTAATTTACATTGTTTTGTATACCTGAAACTCACTAAATATAACTACAAAAGTATATATTTGACCAAAAAAAAACTAGAAAAGTATGTAAAGATGTAATAAAAGCTAGGTAGGTATGGTCATAGTCACACACTCACAGGTGGATTATTCTTGCACATAGAGATATTAAAAGGATTTGCGCTTTATTATTACACTTTATGGAGGACTATAATGTCGGCGATACATCAAATTCTTGGATTTCAAGTTTTAGTTTGCAACTCTTACTTCAAATTAAACATTGGTTTCAACATTGAATATCAATTGAACTGATAACTGAATTTTGAAAATGTGCCCATCAATTCAGAACTCATAACATTAGCGAGAAAAGATCCACACTGAAATGTTTTTCTTACAACATAAACGTTTTGTTTTTGTGCACATAACATGAAATGTTTAATATAGGAAAACCCAGTGGTTATGAAATGTATTAATAATTAAAAAAAGGGTTTCGTAATTCGATTTGTGTTTTGAGTAACAAAAGTCAGAGTACTAAACAAGAAGAAAACAAGTTGACTTGGACGATAGATGCGTTTTTATACTTATTCCAGCTATGAGTGGAAGAATATAAGCAGAATGAGTAGTATAAGATAGAATTTGAGTCTAGACTACGGAGACTAACATATGTGCATAGTGTAAGTGTCCAGAAAATCCATCGCATCCAGTATTTCTGGTATCTCCTTTTATACTCTGAGCTGAGCGCTTTTTCGTTTCCTCCCTCCATGTAATCATTGATTCAACTGATTTTTCAAAAAAATAAAAATAAATTATGATTCAATTGATTACATATCTAGAGAAAAAAATTAAAATATGTTCTTCAAGTTTTTTTTAAAAAAAGTTAAACATCATTAGAAAAAACTAATTTTAACACTTAGTTATATTTTTCTTTTTAGTTTTTTTTTTTTTTCTAAATATAACAAAATATGTTCACAATTGAAGAGAAAATTGAGAAATATACGTTACAATATTACATAATTTTAAATTTATTACTGTAATAATATTTTGATTTTAGTTTTCCATATTTCAGCTATATTTATTTTTATTTTTAAAATCATTAATTTTATATTTGCTTTATTCACAAATATATTCCTTAAAAATTCTTCATTTATTTCATTCAGCTTTCTATTCATTTTATTGTTTATTTAAACAGTCACCGTTCAAATTAATAGTTACGCTTGCTATTAATTATGTTGATTTCCTTCTTAAATATTAGCTATAAGATAAAATTTGCTTCAGAAATTATCTCAATTCAAAATAAGTATTTGGACATAAAATTATAGTTTTGAATAAATATACAGTACAAAATCTATAATTAAGAATATTTAAGCTATAATATTTTAAATTTATGGAGTTATTATTTTAAATTCTTTTTCAGATTCCTCTTTTAATTTTTAAATAATAATAATATTTGTTTCATAAGGCTATATATATTATCTAAATAATAAGAATAATTGTTTTAATTTTTTCTATGTATATTTATCAATACATTGGATTGTTTTTTCTATATATAGCGATGATAATTTCAAATGTAACTAGACCAAATAAAATATTTTTAAGTTATAAAAAGTTTTATTTCAAAGAAAAAAAATAGTTCAGTGTTTTAATTATGTATATTAAAAATTTATATATGATAATTATGAATTTATAATAATTATATAAGAATATATTCATAAATATAATTTCAAAATATAGTTTATTTCTTAATTGACTTGTTATGATTAGGTTATCATATTATTAATTTATTAAATATTAATTTAAAAGTTTATTTAAGATATTTTTAGAAATTCATTTTAAAAAAAAAATTTTTAAAAATTAAAAATAGCTTGGAAAGTATGACAGACTTTGAACACCTATATTTGTAGCATAATTTGAAATTTCCTTTTACCAAGCAACGCGTATAAAAAAATGTTCTGGAAGGAACCGAGTATTGCGCTAAAATCTGTTTATACTATCTGATGTGATTTTGTTTTTTACTGAAAATACTTTGCTAAGTGTGTGAAATGGAACAAGCTCGAAAGCAAATGGGACTTTGGCCCACACAGAGGAATTTTGTTTTCTTTAAACGCATTCCTTTTCGGTTTCCATGTGATCACACTCTCTCATCATTATCCCCACTCTTACCCGAAAAAAAAAAACAGTTCTAATTAGTGGGTCAGTGATACATACCAACAAATGTTTGCTTGCAATGCTTCAATTCACATTTCACATTTCAAAAATTTAAACACAGAAGGTTGATAACTATAATCATTGTCACATATAATTATGAATTTTATTTTCTAATCATCTTGGTTAACAGAGACAACTCTTGGAATTTTCAGAGTTTTAAGATTATCAGCATATTTGTGAACCCTTAATTTATTAAAATATATGCTTGAATTACATAAAAATAATAATTTCTGTTTGTAATTTTCATCAGGTATCAAATATTTTTTTTGTTGCAGTCTTTTTTATCAAATTAGGAACAGATTATTTCCTTAGTATTATATAATTATGGTAATTCCTATTTTTAAATATTGAAATTATATTTTTCAAAATGTATTTGTATTTTTGATTAGCAATTAGATTTTTTTTTTCTTTTTTGTTAACTGGTGAAATTAAAATTAGTATATAAAAACTCGGTTTTGTCTTTTTGTAGCAACCAGATTTTTTTTTAGGGGGGAATCTTTTTTATATAGAAAATAGGGAGTGGAAATGGAAGCTAACACAGAGTGTATCTCTCTCTATAGTCTATATATAAAACACACAGCTAAACACACATGTCTCAAAAACATAACAACACAACTATAAAACCTCTTCCTCGTTTGACCCTCTCTCTCTCCCTTGAAATCTGGAACAGATCATTCACACCTCTGTCCCTCTCTCTCTCTCTCTCTGTTATATTTACTTCCACGCTTATTTCATTCCTTCTCATGAATCTGTGAGTATCCTCACCAAACTTCTTCCTCCCCTTCTCTGTGAAAGAAGAAAAAATCAAAATCGAAAGAATGGAACCTATGAAGATTGTTCCATCTCTTCTCCTTCTCCTCTTGGTAACTCCTCTCTCTCTTTCTCTTTCGATTCATATGATTTTCTTTCTCTAAATGGTTGATTTGTTTCTGTTACGGAATTGTAATTCTCTGCATTAGCTACATTTGAATATCCTAATTTTTATTTAATTTTCTTTGAATTGTTTTTCTATAATTTCAAAATATACAAAATTTACTTTGAAATTATCTTTATGGTTTTTTTTGTTTTGGTTTGAATTTCCCGATGCAGATTCTGTGTAATATTCTGTGTGGAGTAGAAGCAAGAAAATCAGCAGGATATTGTGCGATGTATGATATCTGTGGAGCACGAACCGATGGGAAAGTACTGAATTGCCCTTTTAACATTCCCGCAGTGAAGGTGCGTTGTGACCTTTCTTTCATTTATTGCTATGCCTGCTGATACTATTAAATTTTTAATTTTTTTTGAGACAGCAAAATGGAAAATGATTTTCTTGTTTGTACAGTAATAAATGATTTGTTTTGTTTTATAAAAAAATGTTCGCAGCCCGATGATTTGTTCTCTTCAAAGATACAAAGCTTGTGCCCAACCATCACAGGCAACGTTTGTTGCACTGAGACTCAGTTCGATACGCTACGTTCACAAGTACAGCAGGTAAATAACAACAAAATGTTGTTATTGTTGATGTTAATGTTTTAACTTTCACCAAAAGCTTTTAATGACTGACTCAAATGTCTCAGCGACTTTTGTCTGAAAAAACTTCAATGTGATAGCTATAGTTCAATAAGAATTAATTTTCTAAGCCTCTCTGATGTTGTTGGTAAGGACTACAGTCTACAAACAGATATTACTAGGAGTGTTTATTAGGAAAATGTTTTTATTGTTCAAGTGGTTGTGACTATTAGCGGAGTTATTAATGTGATGATGACTATGTTTTAATATTTCATGTTTAAACCTTTTGCCTGAAAAACTTCAATGTGATAGTAATAGTTCAATAACTATCAATTTTCTAAACCTCTCTGATGTTGTTGGTAAGGACTACAGTGTACAACACATATTACTAGGAATGTTTATTAGAAAATTGTTTTTATTGTTCAAGTGGTTGTGACTATTAGCGGAGTTATTAATGTGATGATGACAACGTTTTAATATTTCATGTTTAAACCTTTTATCTTTTTTTATTAATAATGATTACAAATATAAATTTATGTGAAAAAGAGTGTCTTTTTTTTTGTGTCAGGCTATTCCCTTTATTGTAGGCTGTCCAGCATGCCTGAGGAACTTTCTGAATCTTTTTTGTGAACTTACTTGTTCTCCGGATCAAAGTCTATTCATCAACGTTACTTCCACCGCAAGGGTATACATAACATATATTTTTGAACTGTCTGTATGCTTCATACATCAAGTAGTTTTAAGTGTTTTATTTGTTATGGTGGCAGGTCAAGAAAAACACGACAGTGGATGGGATTGAGTACTACATAACCGATGCTTTCGGAGAAGGGATGTATGAATCTTGCAAGAATGTGAAGTTCGGTAGCTCGAACAGCCTAGCTGTAGATTTTCTCGGGGGTGGTGCAAAGAGCTTTAAGGGTAAATTGGTGCTAGCTTGTGTTTTCTTACCTCATCTTATATTTAAGTATTAACTTAGATGTCCTGTTCTGTCATTACAGAATGGTTTGAATTCATCGGCCAGAAAGCTGGTGTTGATATGCCAGGCTCTCCATATGGGATTAAGTTTTCGCCGTTACCACCAGCCTCATCTGGAATGAAGCCTATGAATGTGTCTTCTTATAAATGCAGTGATGATACTCTTGGATGCTCTTGTGGTGATTGTCCTTCTGCAGCTGCTTGTTCCAGTACAGCTGCACCTCCTACTCAGATAAAACGATCTTGCTCTATCAAGATGGGATCCCTTGAGGTGATTATGGGTTTTTTTGTGTATTTTGCTAATGCTTATGAATATTTTGTTTACTGGTTGGTTTTTAATCATGCAGGTTAAATGTGTTGACTTCGTTCTAGCCATTTTGTATATTGTCTTGGTTTCATTGTTTCTTGGAGGAGGCTTGCTTCACAGAATAAAGGGTAAGAAGAAGAGCTCACCATCTTCAGAACCCATAGGAGAACAAAGTTCTGTTAAACCAGACACTATTCATGCGCAGGTACTTTGTGCTTAGCCTTGCACCACTATAATTGTTGAAGTTTGAGCTTACTCATTGCTTTATTTTATGTTCTCTTAGATGCTGCAAAACACTCCACAGCGAAACTGGGCTCAGCTTTCAACAGTACAAGGATACTTGGCCAGATTCTACAGGTTCTTGACATTCATACACAACTATGCTGCTTAGTTTTAAAGTTAGGCGTTATTGACATTTGTCTTGTCATCTATTTGTTTTTCCAGGAACTATGGGATCTGGGTAGCAAGACACCCAGCTATCGTTTTGAATGTGTCAGTCTTTGCAGTTCTTCTACTTTGTGTGGGTCTGGTCCGATTCAAAGTTGAGACACGGCCTGATAAGGTAGCCGGTTGTAACCACTCTTCATTTTTTCAAACTATTGCTATATGCAACAACCTGTTTAACATTTCCAATAAATGTTTATTTTACTGTATGTTGCAGCTATGGGTAGGTGCAGGGAGCAGAACCGCTGAAGAGAAACGATTCTTTGACACCCATCTTGCTCCTTTCTACAGAATTGAACAGGTTTCACATTTCTATCAACTTTTCTCTCTGTTACAAAAAGTTTTTAAGGCCTTAACTAAGTTATCAAGCATTTGTTTCATGGAAATTTCTGCAGCTAATAATAGCAACGGTTCCAAAATCTTCTCACGAGATGGCCCCGGAAATTTTGACAGATGACAATATGAAGTTACTTTTTGACATACAAAAGAAGGTATCTTCTTACTAATTTTTCATTTTTTTTTTCAAAATTCCATCTGAATCACCAGCATAAGGCTTCATGTAAAATGTTGTTTTAATATGGTAGGTTGATCGACTCCGGGCAAATCACTCAGGTTCAATGGTTTCTCTGACAGACATTTGCATGAAACCACTTGGAGAAGATTGTGCCACACAAAGTCTTCTGCAGGTTACACTCCTTTCTTTTTTTTAGTACTTGAGATTAGCTTTACTAGACCTTAACATATCTTGTGAATTTTCTTACTTTTTGAGGCAGTATTTCAAGATGAAACCAAAGAATTATGATGAATTTGGAGGCGTTGATCATGTTAAATATTGCTTTGAGGTAACCTCTTGAATTTATGTAATATTCCATTTTAATAACTCTTGTCTTTTTTTTTCGAACTTCGTCTATATATTTAACCATTTTGTTATATGCTCACCACACTTTTCTTCAGCATTTCACCTCGTCAGAGTCATGTTTGAGTGCATTTAAGGGTCCCCTTGATCCAACAACTGCACTAGGAGGTTTCTCAGGGAACAGTTACAGTGAGGTAATATTCTTCAGTTTGTAATAACCACATAGAGTATGTCAATTTACATGAGTATCTAATACATTTTTAACTGACATGCTTAAGACAGGCTTCAGCTTTTATTGTGACTTATCCTGTGGACAATGCTGTTGACAACAAAGGTAACAAAACTGAGAGAGCAGTGGCATGGGAGAAAGCCTTTATCCAGCTCGCCAAGGTTGGGAGTTTTCCATACACAAACAAATGATATTTTAATCCTATTTTATTTCATTGCTTCAGTGTTATTGTTCCTAAACTTACGTCAGAGTATTCTATATGTGACAGAATGTGTTGTTGCCCATGGTTGAATCAAAAGGTCTAACTCTTTCTTTCTCTTCGGAAAGTTCTATTGAAGAAGAACTGAAACGAGAAAGCACAGCAGATGTCATAACTATAGCAGTGAGTTCCCTTGTTTTGTTACCTTCAAGATTCTCTCTGGTCTACATTATCTCTTTCTTCTAATATTTTTTCGTCTCTTGTACTTGTTCTGTTTCAGATAAGTTATCTTGTCATGTTTGCATATATATCACTGACACTTGGGGATACACCTCGTTTGAATACCTTTTACATTACATCCAAGGTAGTATGATAAATGATTCAAAGAAGTTACTTTTAAACTTCAGAAGATGTACTTCCTTCTGAAATTTATCCTTATTCATTACAGGTTTTGCTTGGTCTATCTGGTGTTCTTCTTGTCATGCTGTCTGTCCTCGGCTCCGTAGGATTTTTCAGTGCCATTGGAATGAAATCAACTCTAATCATAATGGAAGTTATACCTTTTCTTGTCTTAGCTGTAAGTTGTGTCTGGTTCTACTCAGATATGTAGTGTGTTGTGGTCGATGTTCTTGAACTGGTTCTTAATAATCTAACCTACAGGTCGGTGTTGATAATATGTGCATACTGGTTCATTCCGTCAAGAGGCAAGAGCAAGAGCTGGCCCTGGAAACACGAGTAAGCAATGCCCTTATGGAAGTTGGACCATCGATTACTCTTGCAAGTCTTGCCGAGATTTTAGCTTTTGCGGTTGGTGCTTATATTAAAATGCCAGCTGTTCGAGTGTTCTCCTTGTTTGCTGGTCAGTAAAAAATTTGTCAGCATATTCAGTTTAAATGCTTTCAGTATCTCCCTTCTGACTTATGTTTCTTGCTTGCAGCATTGGCCGTCTTTTTGGACTTCATTCTCCAGGTTACAGCTTTTGTTGCCTTGATAGTATTTGACTTCCAACGGTGTGAGGATAAGCGAGTTGATTGCTTCCCATGTATTAAGAAATCACAATCATCAGATGGTGATGACAAAGGTAATATATCACTTTTTTGGGGTCTGATATATCATCGTCTCTTTATTTATTGTAGACTTTTATGAAATCAAAATTTTCATTTGAGTTGTCTTGTAGCCACTTCAGGGGTTGGACAGAAAAAACCTGGCCCTTTGACTAGATATATGAAGGTATTTCATAAGTCAACTTATACCTTAGGAGATGGTTTCTGTTCAACTAACTTGATTTCACACTTTCAGGAAGTCCATGCACCCATTCTCAGCCATTGGGTAGTCAAAATATTTGTTATTGCCTTCTTCTTTGGCTTAGCAATGGCTGGAATTGTGAGTTTATACATTTTCTGACCATAAGAGGAACTTTATCTTCATCACAAGTTGAAATTGTCATCTCTAATATATTGTGTTTATTAACCATGTAGGCATTGGCCACTCGGATTGAGCCTGGTTTGGAGCAACAGATTGTTCTTCCCCAGGACTCGTATCTTCAGGTTTGCATTGATGTTACCCAATCATAAAGTAACCAATCTGGAATGTCTCTAACAAGTTCCTCTCTTTATTTTTTCATTTAGGATTACTTCAACAATATTGCTACATATCTTAGAATTGGTCCACCTCTTTACTTTGTTCTGAAAAATTATAACTACAGGTATATCACTTTCTGGTTTTAGATGTAAGAGTTTGGTCCAACGTGTTATTTAAAAATCTCAATTTTCCTTATGTTCTCAGCTCGGAATCAAGACAGACAAATCAGCTTTGTTCCATTAACAAGTGTGATTCTAATTCTCTTATGAATGAGGTATATATATAGCTCGTCTGCATTTCTTTTTATTTCTCCTCATTATTCTTTTTCTGTCTTTGGACCATGGCTCTTCCATTATATATATACACATATTATAATTTCTTGAAGAAGTTTACAATTTCATTTTATGGTTGTTATTTGAGGATCTAAAGTTGATTTCTTGTCCATAGATTGCAAGGGCGTCTTTGACTCCAGAACTAAGCTACATAGCTAAGCCAGCTGCTTCATGGGTCGATGACTTTCTTGTGTGGTTATCTCCCGAGGCATTTGGCTGTTGCAGAAAGTTCACGAATGGCACCTTTTGTCCCCCTGATGACCAGGTATATGCTTACTAGCTTTAAAGTTCAGATACATATATACGCACATGGTTGGAGTTTGAATGAACTTACATGCAGCTAGCTTCAGTTTTTATAATGTGAAACTGCTTCAAAAGTAGCATAGGTGTTATAAAATATCATTATGGTCAAAATGTGTAGAGCAATTTATGACTTACTGATGACTAACTTCCCTTGTACTTTGTAGCCTCCTTGTTGCCCTGCTGATCAAGGGACTTGTGGCCTAAGTGAAGTTTGTAAAGACTGCACTACGGTAACTTTACTCATGATGATTTAATCTAAGTAATTATCATTGTCCGTGCTATGTGTTCTGTAATTTATTTAATTTTGTGTGGTTGTGCAGTGCTTTCGCCATGCAGATTTAACTAGTGACCGCCCATCCACAATCCAATTCAAAGAGAAGCTTCCTTGGTTCCTCAGTGCACTTCCTTCTGCTGACTGTGCTAAAGGTGGCCATGGTGCTTATTCTACTAGTGTTGATTTGCAAGGTTGGTTTTCACGCTGTCCTCTCTTTCTTTCTTTCTTTCATGTCATTGTATTCATACCGAGATGTGTGATGTATGCTCTCTTTTCTTATAATGCAGGCTATGAAAATGGTATCATCCAAGCTTCATCGTTCCGCACTTATCACACACCTCTTAACAAGCAGGTATTTTCTTATATCATCTCATAGTATGTATGTAGCCCACGTTTGATATCGTGTAAGTTTATACTTATAAGTTTGTTTTTTTCAGTCTGACTTTGTTAATTCAATGAGAGCTGCTCAGGAGTTTAGTGCAAAAGTTTCCAGTTCCTTAAAGGTACAAGAATATATACTCTATTCATTTCTCCTAATAATTCATCATCACCATGGTCTCTGCCTTAGTGATGACTAACTTAATGATTCTCTTTCAGATGGAGATATATCCATACTCAGTGTTTTATATGTTCTTTGAGCAATATCTTGACATATGGAAAACTGCATTGATCAACCTCTCCATAGCCATCGGTTCGTAAATCTTCCATAAATTTATTTTGAGTTTCTAGTTGGTAGGTCTTGATTTTACATTTTGAGTTCACAGATGAAATGACTTTGAATGTTTTATCCATTTTACAGCTGCCGTCTTCGCCGTGTGTTTAATCATCACATGCAGGTACCCTTGTTAAGCTCATGATTCCCAAATTAAATTTACTACAACTCTAGATATTGTTAAACTTAAATCTTCAAATCCTTTAACTCTTGCCTCCTTCCTAACTTAGCTTTTGGAGCTCTGCAATTATATTGCTGGTGATTGCAATGATCATCATTGACCTCCTGGTAAGTCACTCTCATTGTTACTTTTAAATAAAATCGATAAACTGATTTTCATACAAGCATGATAGGTTACTTATGTTTACATTCTATTAAACATTTGATTTGGAAATTGGCAGGGGGTGATGGCAGTCTTTCATATCCAGCTAAACGCACTATCGGTTGTAAATCTAATCATGTCAGTGGGCATAGCGGTTGAATTTTGTGTCCACATAACACATGCTTTCTCGGTTAGCTTCCCCCCTCTTTGTCTGTATATCAGTATTCACAACATGCTTTCTTGTTTTAAATCCTGACAAGACTTTTCTAAATGTTCAGATAAGCTCTGGGAACAGAAACCAACGTATGAAAGAGGCGCTTGGTGGGATGGGAGCTTCAGTTTTCAGGTATTGGTTTCTCTTCAACTAAACTCATGAACTTAAAAAGTATGCCATAAGGAACCAAAGTCTCAAGTAACATATGTTCTGGATACTGTTTTACAGTGGAATTACATTGACAAAGCTAGTTGGAGTGATTGTGCTTGGCTTCTCAAAATCGGAAGTATTTGTGGTATGTGATTGTGATCTCTTGAAGCTTTTCTTCTCCTTTTACCATTTTCATATTTGACCTTTGATTTTTCTTTTTGCATAGGTCTACTACTTCAAGATGTATTTGGCACTAGTCCTCCTCGGTTTCATGCACGGCCTTGTATTCTTACCGGTAAGTCATGATTATTCAAACACTCCTTCGATGTTGGATTTGTTGTTATTGTTCTGACATGAGAAATGATTGAACTATGAAGGTGTTCTTGAGCATGTTTGGTCCAGCTCCAAGATATGTTGAAGGGGATAAGAAAGATCATCGACCTTCGGTTTCATCGTTGCCCTAATTTAACTAGCTTTTTATTCTTTATTTCTAAAGGTTTTGTTTCTAAATACAACTTTTTGTAAATCGTTAAGAATCGTTTCACCCATAGCCACATAGAAAAGCTAAGTTCAGTGCAAAGCAGAAAGTTAAAAAGAGAGAATCATCACACCAAACGTGTGGAGAATCTGCAGGAAGATAACGTATTAAAAGAAATGAAAGGAAAAAATGTAAGTTTAGCTACAAATAAACTGAGAAATACAAAACTCAGAGCCGAAACTGAATTGGGGATGAAGAAGAACAAACCTTAAGCTCATCTTTGCGGAAGAGAATATACTCTAAAAGGAGTTTCAAAACGAAATCTTTTTCTTTGGCCGTCTTTATGATGTAACAATTCTGGTAACAGTGAGTCCGTACTTGTATTATCTATCTCAACCGTTCATCTTATTCCTATAGCTGCCTTCTCTGTGTTTCTTGCTTTCGTATTTCAGGCTTCAGTCTCCACTTAACTTGATTTATCAAGATTATTGGATATGTTCGGTTAATCTGTTATAAAAGATACAAAAAGATATTTAAATGTTAAATAATTTATATAAAATCTGATCATCTTCTATACTATTATTTGCGAAGTGATTTTTCGCAACGGAGCTCCCACGTTAAAAGTTGGAGTGGTTAATATCGTTTATACCCTTAATAAAAATAATATATATTACATATAAATTAAAAACGAATTTAAATTATTTTAATCTAAAATTAATAATAATCATAAGAATTTCCAAAATCTAAATAATATCTTTTTAAATAAGAT